CTGACACCCTCCCTTTTCATCAGAATTATGTCACCCTCCCTTTTCATCAGAATTCCATCACCCTCCATTTTCATCAGAATTATTTCACCCTCCCTTTTCATCAGAATTCTTTCACACTTTCTTTTCTTCAGATTTATGTCACACTACCTTTCTTCAGAATTATGTCACACTACCTTTTCTGCAGAATTATGTCACACTACCTTTTTTCAGAATTATGTCACACTCCCTTTTCATCAGAATTCTGTCACACTCCCTTTTTTCAGAATTCTGACACCCTCCCTTTTCATCAGAATTATGTCACCCTCCCTTTTCATCAGAATTCCATCACCCTCCATTTTCATCAGAATTATTTCACCCTCCCTTTTCATCAGAATTCTTTCACACTTTCTTTTCTTCAGAATTATGTCACACTACCTTTTTCAGAATTATGTCACCCTCCCCTTTCATCAGAATTATGTCACCCTCCTTTTTCATCAGAATTCTGTCACATTCCCTTTTCTTCAGAATTATGTCACACTCCCTTTTCTTCAGAATTATGTCACCCTCCCTTTTCTTCAGAATTATGTCACACTCACTTTTCTTCAGAATTCTGACACCCTCCTTTTTCATCAGAATAATGCCCCTCTCCCATTTCATCAGAATTATGTCACCCTCCCTTTTCATAAGAATTCTGTCACACTCCCTTTTCTTCAGAATTATGTCACCCTCCCTTTTCATCAGAATTATGTCACACTCCCTTTTCTTCAGAATTATATCACACTCCATTTTCATCAGAATTCTGACACCCTCCCTTTTCATCAGAATTCTGACACCCTCCCTTTTCATCAGAATTATGTCACCCTCCCTTTTCATCAGAATTCCATCACCCTCCCTTTTCATCAGAATTATATCACACTCCCTGTTCTTCAGAATTCTGACATCCTCCCTTTTCATCAGAATTATGTCACCCTCCCTTTTCATCAGAATTATGTCACACTCCCTTTTCATCAGAATTCTGTCACACTCCCTTTTCTTCAGAATTCTGACACCCTCCCTTTTCATCAGAATTATGTCACCCTCCCTTTTCATCAGAATTATGTCACACTCCCTTTTCATCAGAATTCTGTCACACTCCCTTTTCTTCAGAATTCTGACACCCTCCCTTTTCATCAGAATTATTTCACCCACCCTTTTCATCAGAATTCTTTCACACTTTCTTTTCTTCAGAATTATGTCACACTGCCTTTCTTCAGAATTATGTCACACTCCCTTTTCTTCAGAATTATGTCACACTACCTTTCTTCAGAATTATGTCACCCTCCCTTTTCTTCAGAATTATGTCACACTACCTTTCTTTAGAATTATGCCACCCTCCCTTTTCATCACAATTATGTCGCACTCTGTCATCAGAATTCTGTCACACTTTGTCATCAGAATTCTGTCATATTCCCTTTTCATCAGAATTCTATCACCATCTATTTTCTTTAGAATTATGCCACCCTCCCTTTTCATCAGAATGATGTCACACTATGTCATCAAAATTCTGTCACACTCTGTCATCAGAATTTTGCCGCCCCCGTCAGAATTCTGTCACCCTCCGTTTTCATCAGAATTCCATCACCTTCCCTTTTCAATCGAATTCTCTCACACTCTGTCATCAGAATTCTGTAACCTCCCATATCACCGGGATTGTACTACCTTCCCTGTAATTACAGTGTGTCGCACTTTCGCCATCATCAGGAAAATGTCCCGTTTTCCCCGTCGCCAGAATTGTGCGGACCCAACATATGTCAAGCATCACGCTAGTCTCAGCAAGGATGATAGGTCAGGCATTATAGCTTAGGTCAATGTCTTTCCTGTCACAGTCTGAAGCATGCGACATCGATTGAGTCTCGCGGCAGTGAGTGACATGGAAACGATGATTACACGTTGGTTCAAAAAGAAATATTTCCCATTCCAAGGGAGCGTGTCGAAGGTGACATAATGCCGCTGGTCTTTGCCAACTGATGTAATTTCCATCCAATATTAAGATATGTCAATATATTTGTTGCTGCTGTAACTTTATTCGTAATTGCCGGTGACTCATAATACTGTCATCGCCATCAGGAGCCGGATGCCACCCGCCTTGGCCCAAGACTAGATTTCAGAGCACTAGCTACTAGTTTTACTGATCACGTATAGTATACCCCCTACAAGTGAGCATTTGCCAGCCTGAAAAATTTGTTTTCTTTTTTCACAATCAACAGGATGAACGAAATCAAATTATGACAACTAGTGTGTGGGTGAAACAGGTATGTGATCGTTGATCATTTAATTCGAAGCGATTTCTGTTTTGTCGCTCAATTAACATACTCCTAACCGATTTTCCTAAATAGTACCAGTTGTAACCAATATTATTCTTGTATTCGAGTTTCTATAGTAACAGCACGACGACATTTACTTGCGAGTTATTCAGAAAATCTAAGATATTTTAATTATATTGTGTATTAATCATTGACGATATGTTTTGATTTCATTTTATCAGAAATGGCACGATTATCAAATGGTTTGGGACCCTGGGGAGTACGACGGATTAACAATAATCCACATCCCCGTTAATATGTTATGGATGCCAGACATACTGTTGTACAATAAGTAAGTCACGTGGTAATATAACTTGACAAGGTCGCGTCAGTTTCATCAACACGCCAAACATGTTTGCATACCATCGATAGAGGGCGCTAGTTACCTTGCGTTTATATCGAAAGCACCCAAGTAATTATTTTATTGAACATGACACACAATAGAATGACCAAGTCTTGAGTAAAACGTGGGCGGATTAATAAAAATCAATTAAGTTGAGTTAACTTATTTCGAGAGCGCATTAGAGAACTGATAAGACGCCGTTAGCAAACTGGTTTGTTTTGAACAAATGTAAAAAACGTTTTTTTTTCTTTAATTTTGCGTACATGACTGGCTCGATGTATGGAAAGTAGTACATATATGTAATGACTTGCGCGGTATTTATCATTAATTGCGTGTTATTGTGACAATAAATTGTTAATATTGTCGCGAATTTTTAATCAATTATTTCCCTTATTGTGTTGCAGTGCCGATGGCCCATATGACGTGGAGTTCATGACGAACGCTCTGGTATATTCAGATGGTACAGTTTATTGGATTCCTCCGGCGATATATAAAAGTTCATGTAAAATAAATATCGAGTTCTTCCCTTTCGATGAACAAAAATGCATCATGAAATTTGGATCGTGGACTCACGATGGTTTGGTGTTGGACTTGGTCATAATGGACGAATACGTGGGACAGGAGGATTACTGGGAGAACGGGGAGTGGGATATAGTTGAATCACCTGGACAGCGCCACTCCGTCAAGTACCCATGCTGCGAGGAAACTTACATCGATGTCACGTTTTCATTTGTATTACACCGGAAGTCGTTGTTTTACATCGTTACCTTGGTGATCCCGTGTTTGTTAATTTCGTTCTTGACAATGTTAGTATTTTACTTGCCTTCGGATGCTTGTGAGAAGATCACATTATCAATATCTATTCTTCTCGCGTTGATTGTGTTCCTCTTGCTGATTAGCGAGATTATCCCGCCCACTTCAACAAGCTTGCCTCTGATAGGACGATACATGTTGTTCACCATGTCTTTGGTAACAATGTCAATTTTCGCCACTGTCGTCGTTATCAACATCCACTTTCGGAGTGCTAAGACTCATGTCATGCCCAATTGGGTGAGGAAGATTTTTATTGATATAATTCCAAAATATCTGCACATGGAGAGGCCGCCAAAGGACGACCGTCTCCAGCGAGAACGAATGAAACGGAGAAACATTAGGACGCAGGAGGAAGGGCATTCGAATGGATACTATGACCGGCGGTTCATGCAGACAGCCGCTAAGTACATGGTGGACACCATTACGCCGTCGTTATTGGAGGAAATTGAAGGAAGGGAGCAAATTAACAAAAATTACAACCAATTTGGGAGTTCGGATCTTGCGCCTGAATACAGGGAAGCAATCGAAAGTTTGAACTTTATCACGAACCATTTGAAAGCTGAGGATATTGAAGACGAGGTAGGTAGCACACTTTCAGCTCGGTCTACTTAAAGTCTGGTGTAGGTAGATGTTATGGTTGCTTTTAATCTGCAATCAGTTTGATGACTGTTGGTGTACATGTCTACAGTAGTTGGAAACACTGACGACGAAGGCCATACACTATGGACTGAAAATTAAAAGCGACCTCAGCCTCCACCTCCATGATCACATTTTGATAATATTGTTGTTAGACATATACTCAAAATAAAAGGTGTATCTCACGCATTTTTATTTTCTGTTCTATAATAATTTGAAATATAATGGAAATATTTCTTCATTTTGCTGAAATGAAGATAGTCGCATAGTTGTCTAAAATCTATTCGAAAAATCTGTATGTAACGTGCATTAATCGTCTGGTGTCTGTTCTCCATTTTTAGGTCAGCGAAGACTGGAAGTACGTTGCCTTGGTGATAGACCGAATTCTGTTATGGATTTTTTTAATCGTCTGCGTTGTTGGTACATGTTCAATTCTTCTAAACTCGCCAGTGATCTGGGAACGTGCCAATGCTCACGCCACGCCTAAGTTTGAAAAACCCATTTTAATTGAAAGTATCACTTACGGCGAGTACAGCCTATAGTTCCCACAATTCATTGCCACAGTATTTTTTCCTTCCCATTTTGCAATACGAAATATCTATTTTTTATACGAATGTATGCAATAACAATGAATTAATCCACATACGGGGAGTAAATAATGAATGCGGCATTCGTGATGTGTCGAAAAAAGGCAGCGTTAATTACTTCAGTCAATATATGTCACTGAAAGATAGGCAAGAATTGCTCTCGTTGAACGAGGCTCAAGTATTAGATAAACAATACCTATGCAAATTTGTTTTCAAGTCTGCGCATGATGGATAGACATGATATTTTGAATTTGCAACTCAAATTCTCGCTGATGTTATAATATTACGTTTTCAGATTCCGCTTTTCCAAATATTGTCCAAATATATATATATAATATGGCAGCTGATAGTAAACGCGCGTTAGATAATGGTTATATGGTTTACAAATATTCACTGAAGTGCAGCAAAAAGTCTTCATAATGCTGGCCCGTTAACGGATAACCTGCCCTTGTACTACTCAGTGAGTTTATAAATCAACGTGTTTGCGTGGGTGGTACTCGTTCAATATATATAATTTTGGGTTGAAATATGCTGATGAGTGGAAACGAGAAAGAAACTCGACAGACAATACTAAAATAGAATGTCGCTGAAAGTGGACGGTTTATACTTCCCAATTTAGTTGCGATTAGCTGGAAACGACCCAGACAAGACAGGCGAAGATATTTTATGTTTTGTCCGAACACAATAGACTCAATTCAGAATACTCGTTTTAGGGACAGTAATTTGAATAATGAAAATGCGAAATTGTGTTATTTTCTGATTGTTGTTTAGTGAGCACTATTATTTGACTTCCTCTATACGCCGTGACCACCGTGACAACACTACCTATAGGCATGGTATACTGGGCAGTGTTCTGAACTTTGAACTATTGTGCATTACTTAATTACCTGCTTGGTGTTAAATAGAAAAATTATCATATGCGGCAAAGAAGCTACAAACAAAGTCAACATGTCGAATGCGATGAGAGTCAGCGACAAATAAACGACCAAAGACACGAAAAGTGGGCCATTCAGGTTGAAGACTGTATGCAATCGATATTTCACGGTGCCGAGACGGAGCCGAAACACATTCTGAAAAGCAGTGGATATTTTCAATACATTGATTGTTTAGAATATATTTAAAAATATTGTCATTTTTACCCAATTTGTTGTGCCATACTGCATTCGTTTTTTTACTGATATGCTACCAGTTTGCGGATGAACTTGGGACCAATGTACAACCATGAAAAAAGCTATAAACACTCGTTTTACCATATACGGATCACCCGTGACGTCAGAGAAATTTAATGTATTTCCTACCGACGTCATATTAGTGTTGATATGTTTTGACTCCATACTGTCTAGACCGTCATGCAATGCTCTGATATAAGTTTCTGAATATTGCAGTATTGTCATTAACTGATATGGGGCTTGAATGAAACACGCTGATATATATGTAACGTCAAATTCACTCTGATTTGATTCGAGGTCATACCTAGTGTAATTCTCGTAATATGATGTCATCAAACTTGTTTTGGATTATGACGTAAATTATTGGGAAGTCAACGCTGTGACGGCGTTACTGTAAAATACTTTATTTTAGCTTGGAATTCACTTTCGCCATTTTCGCTGGGGGATAATTTAATAAAATTAAAATTCAGTGAATATATTCATTTTCCTATATTTTACATTCAACTCATCAGAAACCAGTGAAAATAAATCCCATACAGAACACCCAACAAGTTTTTTGAGCGAAAATTAATTCCAGTCAAAATAAAGCATTTCACAGTATTTCATCTAAGTGATTGCATCTCGATCATGTAATGGACCTTAGATGCAATATATCTCGTTGACGGTAAGGACACCACACGACATATGTTTTTTTGTTTGTGTTCTATTCCCATTCCCATAATGACGTCCACTGTTCCCAAAACACAGATCAGAGGAGCAGTGCTCGTTATTAACGGGGGATGGTGATCTATTAGATAAGCAAAACAAATCGCGTGGCTTTCTCGCCTTCAATGAGATCTCGACGGCCGTTGTCGTCTAATGTATATTAAAAGCAATAAATAACTTATACTAAGATCTTAAGATATCAATACTTCCTAAATGATGCCCTACATCATGTTTATACTCCCATGGCGCATCATTGTGCTATTGCAGCATTGACGCTCCCTTAATAGACAGATTTTGATAAAACATATAGAAGCGAGTTGTCAACTATTATGTAAACAATTTGATTAGTTTTCTGTTGACGCATGTCATTGTTTTATTCATAAAAACGCACATACTGACTTGAATTGATTTTTGGCCCTTGACCTTTATGAACGACGTCTTCTGTTCAAAACAGTGGGCGAATTCAGTTAATTTTTGATATATTTTGTATTCACCTTAATTACTGATTAACCAATTAGGGTACGTTGTATATGTCAATGTAGACTATGATTTCACTGGTCGATGACGAATTTTCATAGACTTGCATTTTTATGTTCAGTTGATGTCGCGGGTTGGAACACATCGGTGACATCTTGTGACATGGAAGATGAACGTGGTTTATCAAATTTATTGTTCAATACCAAAGATGTTATGCACGTTTTACTTTGCATATTTTCTATAAATTGTGTTGACGCAATTATTTACATAGACCTTAATTATTATGAACGATTTCATATTCCAAGCAATAAAATAAAATAAAAGTTTTCCACACTCTGATTTAAACCATGTATTTTATTAGTTGGCTGGAACAGAATTGCGCTCTTTTTTATAACTTAGTGGACTTCATTTAATTACTTCAGCGGATTTATAAAGCTATTGTTGGTGCTCCACGGTATTGATTCATTCCATCGCAATCACCTGTTTACATAACCTTTTGACTATTTTAATTAACTTATAATTTTATTTGTAACAATCTTACTTAAACAAAATATACCTAATAAATTGTAAAACAAAACGACCCAAATACGCATGCGCACATGCATACGTCATAGCCGGTCTCTACTATGCAGATTTTATCATGTGCATTTTTCAGTTATAGTCACTGTGACTTTTCTGTATTTTTGTTGTGCTAATGAACAGTTGTTTTATGGTACATTTTAATTATTGTTTAATTATACAATGTAATTGTTATAACACATACCGCGTATGTCTGTTTCATTCTCAGAGTTCAAAGGTCATTGATGTTTACCCACCATCCTATTATATTTGCTGTTTCCCATTACTATATTGATTCAGAAACCATTCCTCTAGTCGAGCCCTCTTGATGGATTGCTTCTGTGACGTCTACAAGACAATATCGTTGAAATTAAAGATAATAGTGTCTTTATTCAAATCTATATCTGTGTTCAGTTGATGTAATCGTTCTTCGTCGAGAATATAGTAAAATCGCTCAAAAACATTAACTTCATGAGTGACTACACATTAAAATGATTACCAACGCTTCGAACGGCCATGTGTCAGCAATCACGCTTTGTCACTAGAGAGCGCTATTTAAAGGAAATGACATTGCTGATTAGATTAGATCTGAATGTATACATGTTTTACAATTGGAACAAAAGAAATCTGAACAATGCGTGAATACTCACCTTATATATAGATGCTAACTTCCGTAGTCAGATGTAGACTATATTTGATGAATTCACTACTTCCTGTAAGAACATTGTGATATACACGCGGTAAAGTTCACGTGCTCCACTTGGACGTATTGAACAACCGTGGATAGAATAGCGTTTACGTTGCTTAGACGACTTTGCCGGAAGTCGAAGATATGGCGTTTCGCATGCGCGCGCATATCGTTTTGGGGTGTAACGTAAACTTACATGCGTGATATTATGCTTCTTGGTGCACCAACCGTTGTCACAATAATATAATTCCTTTCTATCGACTATTGTCACCAAACTGGCATGTATTTTCAGCTATGACAAAGCAAGAGTATTTTGGCACCCAGTCTCGCATCGTCCGAATCGCAGAGTTTCGCTAAAGCCGGCCATTCATAACCGGCCCACGAACCCGTGAGTGATAGTTTTAGGAAAAGCTGTATTTCAGTGCAGTTAAATTCAGTCATTTAATTGGGCGCGCCAGGAAGCTGGCGCTACCAATCAGCGTTGCTGTATCATAAATTTGAAGACAAGTGGGGTCATCACATATGAAAACAATGGCGGCGTGTAGACTTTGCGCTGATTCACCAGGAGTCAAGAACAGAAGGTCTATCATCGTTGACACGTTTCCAAAACTTGTTATTTCCACGTTAAAAATTGTTTGTTGACAAGTGAATGAAGACTATGAAATGTTTGAATATTTGTGCAAACCGTGTTTTAGTAAACTGTCGAAACAGCTAACATATCAACCTGTCTGATTCGGTCGTCGTTGCAACCATGGAACTATAAACCCCATGTTGCAACTAACACATCATTTTCCTTGGATACATCACTAAGTTTGTTTTCTTTTGATGGTCAGTAAGCTCGTTCACATAGAAAAAGCTAGCAACACGTTGATTTCTATATTCAACCCAATCTTATTAAAATCTGATGTAGTGTACGGGCTTTAATTATTTTGGCTATAAACTTATTTTAATTTTAATTTTTATTACTTTTGTTATTAATGCCCTTTTATTTTATTATTTTACTTTGATTTTGATTTTGTGGTTGTTTTTAATCCCGCCTTACCTACATCTGATCTGACGCCTATGTAAGTCCCGTTCAAATCTCGCGTAAGTAACAGCCAATCACAGCCCCCCTTTTATACAGGCTGTCGGTTGCTTACTTTTCAGTGTAGCGATACTCTACGGGCAATCTTTCTGTACATTATATTTTGCCCACTTGAATAAACCATTAATAGAAAATTGCTAGTATATTTTTATTTGCAAAAGAAATTCCACAGCATTTTACAATTTTTGTCATTACATTGAATATTTTTTCACTTCCAACAAATGTGTACACTTCCAGATACATCTTCGCCAGCCAAGGTTCGTTCATTCAGTCATCGTTTCAATTTTA